CAGCTGCAAACCAGGGACCAATAGAAATTGTGTTCAGTGGGAAGTCTAGTATTCCAAGATTAAGTGTTGGCGGATCGCAGCCATCACGACCGCAAGGTCAAAGCTCAGTTGAGGTGGTCACAATTCCAACACCAAAGACTTCTGGGATTGCGACACCTGTAAGTGCTGCTCCTGTTGCTGCTGCTTCAGTGCCCACAAGCAATGTGACTGTTACGACGTCTACCACAACGTCATTTTCTACCAGGCCCCCAACAGCGGTAAAACCTCCTGTGTTTCGCAAGCCAGAAGTTAGCGCAAAACCAGTTGTGCATCAGAAACCCTCCGTGCCAAAAGTCGTTACTAAGGTGCCGGCATCATATGTGACCAATGATCGATGGGGAGACATCAAATTCGCTGAGGAGGATGACGAGGATGAGGATCGTAAAATGGTGATATCAGCACCGGTGGTGCCACAGCAGACACAAAATTCCTTTGCCACGGTAACGGTGTCTTCTCCAGGTGCCACGTCCCCAAAGGTAAGACTGAAATGAGGGTGTCTTGTATTAAGTTCCATCTTTAGTTGAGTTTCTATGAGTGATGTTAGATTGGCTTGTATTCAACGCCATCTATCTTTTGATTCTTCTAAATCGATGTTTGAATATAGGAGAACACAGAAACAAACGTTTTTTTTAAATTGATGAACTGCCTGGTGTATGATCCTTTTTGTGTGAATTTTATTTTATGGGAAAAATTGAAAATTTTGTAGAAATTTATTTGTTATGCTGCTTTTGTCAGTATTTGTCATGAATATTTTGTTCCTTTAGTTGTCTTCTACTTTTATTATTTTATGAAAAACCTTACATTAGAATTATTAATTGAAAATTATATTTTTGTCCACTTGTCTGTCTGTCTGTCTTTCATTTTCCAGATTTGTAACATACTTTTTTAAAGCATGATAACATTATGGTATTTATCTTCCCAAAACAGCATGTTTTTACCCATGTTATAAACCCTGTACCCTTCAAACAACTAAATGTTTTAGACTTTCTACACTTTGAGCACAAAAGGTCAATTATATACCAGGTAGTGCAGTAGTTGCCTAATTATCTGAAAAACACAAAATGGCTCCTCCCAGTAAAAAAAGAAAAAAAAAATTAATGCTTGGATTTCAAAATGTGGATTCAAGAGTTTTGAAAAACTACCTAGCTCTGCATAAGAAAGTGCCTTAGCTAGTTGTAAGAGCTGAAAATGAACAATGTTGTTTTTTTTTAATTATTATTTAAAAGTGAGGCCTTTGAAATTTTTATTGTAGCAATAACTGTAGCGATATTTTCCAAATTATATTTCAAACATTGAATATCCTTTTAGAGAATCCTTGTTTCTGTTTGTAGATAGTGTGTGGCAAAATCTGTTTTATGCTTGTGTCCTAAGTAAACCTAGTAGATGTAGTTATTGTAGTTCATTTTCATTTTGTGTGAATTTTCACTTCATTTTGCTTTACAGAGTAGAATCCCCTCTCTGAGTTCATTTCAACCTATTTCACCTAAATCACCAACAGCTCCACCTGTTGGGCAACAGACAGGACTGCCGTCAACGGTTCAAAACTCAAACAACAACAATATGGCCACCCCAACAAAGATAGCGCCACCTAGGGGTGCATTTGTGGCCAACCGTGCCTCTCCATCAGCTCCGTCTCAAATTCCAGCACCTAGGTCTCAAATTGCGCCACGATTTACGAGACCGAGGCCTTTTCAACCTCCTCCCACAGCCCCAAAGGTAGAAAACAATATGGAAGCCAAAACCAAAATGGCCGCACTTTTTAGTTGGGAGTAAATAGGGCTTTATGATTAACACAAACCTTGGGATATTGGGACAATTATTATTAGCTATTTAGCTTCTTAACCTTAGTGCTTTCAGTTGAGCTTCATGTTAAAAACCCCTCCCCCTATCTGAAACTCCTTGACTTAAGGATTCCTTCTTTAAAATAGGATTTATAAGCCTGTACTCTGAAATTAATACTCAATGTAATGCAAATATTAATACATCCTGATAATTAAATTTACAAATTTCTTTTGTCTTTTTTTTTTTATTTATAATTTTTTATTTATTTTATTCAAAGTTGCAGCATTTCTTTTATACAAGGTCCCCCTTTCTTTCTATTTCTATGCTCTCCCCACCCTAAATATGCCTAATATATGCCTAATTTAATTTATTATTGCCTATGGCATATAATAATGGCTGTTCTCTTACTTAGTCAGATAATAATAAATGACGCTATATTGAATAGACCTTCTTATGTATATGTACACGCACATTAACTGCAGGTGATAGACTTACAAGCTAGCCAGTGGTAGTGCTCATCAGTGCTTAACTGTGGCAAGACCTTAAACATGTCATGACCAAGACTGGAAATGTGGCATTTCTCTTTCATCTTTCATCTTTCATCTTACATTAGGAGGTTTTTAATCTCCTGGTGAACCAACTAATAATTGCAGGGCTGAGTATTAAAAGAAGAAATTGCTCATAATGGCTTACAAATGATCTAATTGGTGTGGTGAAAGGATGGTTGCTACGGTTATAACTGAAATACAGGGGCGGATTTAGGCTGTCTTCTGGGTTCTTCCGGAAGATGGTCAGATTTTCAAGTTTACCTTGATGGTTATCTAATTTTTACTGTCGGAAGATGGTCAAAAATGGAAATGGGATCAAGAAAATTTGGAAGACTAGTAGTCTGAAAATATCTCTGGATCCGCCCCTGGTTATAACTGAAATAGACAAGTATTGTGTGTTATACATGTGTAATAATAATAATAATAATAATGACAAATTAATGAAGAAAAAGGGAAAATCCTTAAATGTATATTTTTCTGTTTCAAACTTGCTTTATGTAGTTGGGATGGTAGTAATCGGAAGTGGGACCCAACTTACACAATTTAACTCAAAATGTCTTACATACATAATATAACAGGGTCAAGTAGTGACCTCACTAATCAATTTATTTATAGGTTAGTATTGGCAGAGGTTAACCAATGAGCTTCATGCTTAAATGTTGCCTTGCAGTATCAGGCTTTTGATTTAAATTTATAATGAAGACCATACAAATCTAGCTTATGCACCCTTAAAAATGCAAAGCAAATATATTATTTTAAAATGTAGTATATTATCAGTTTTTGAAATTTCTTGAAAATGTTGATTTAGTCATCAGCAATGTAGTAAGCCAATATGCATCTGTAGATTTTTGCAGTATAAGTTTTATTATAAAATCAAAAGAAGAAAATAAATGATAGAATTGAATTAATGAACTTCATAAGTCACATTCACAAGAAAATTATATTGATAATATGTTATATTTTCAGAGTAAGATACCAACCTTTGCCAGTAAGGGAGAACTTCAACAAACAAGCAATAAGGCAACAACAGTAACTACGACGGCCAGTACCATTGGGTCAACGTCAACTTTCTTGTCCTATCAAGGAAGGCCGCCGCGCACAGCATACACGGGCATCCCAACGCGATCGTCATACCAACAGTCAACAACTGTCGAAACCTCAGCAGTAAAAGCAGACAAACCTGCTGTGGTGAGTAACTCTTGAAATATCCAGGTCGACATGACCTAGTTACTGAGTTGCTTATCTAGCTCATTGTGACCTCATTTTGAATCACTTATGTAGGTCATTCTGACCCAGTTTCTGCTTATCTCACCATTCATGAATCAGAAATACAGGAAATACCCACTGCATTGCTGCTTATCTAGATCAGGGAGGCCCATTTTATTGTGTTCTTTAGTTCAGGATGAACAAACTATTGAACTTATTGCCCTGGCCTATGTTCTTAATGACCTTGTTACTGCTGAGGTGACCTAGTTTTGGTTGACCTAGTTATTGCTTATGTGACATAGTTTTTGGTGAACAAGTTATTGCTGAGTTGCTTGCCATGTTTTTTTCGTACTAGGACTATCTGAAATTGTGTGTTGATGATTACAAAAGTGAAATATTATAAACTATGTCACTCTGCTGCTACCACAAAAATGAGAGCTGGTTGGGTCTTTTTTATTTTCAAGGACAGAATATGGTTTGAAATTGCCTTATTACGAGAGAACATGATATTCATAAGCCCTTCAATGGTTTCTTAAAACAAATTAAATTGCCTTTTTTCGAGACAACTTATTGTCCATAAAACCCTTATTGTCCATAAAGAGATCTTTGCATGATACCGATTAGATTTTTTTTTTTTCACAATGATGGAAGGGAAGTAAATTAGTAATACTTGTTTTTTAGATAAAAGAAGTTTTCTCTTTTGGGTTATTTAATTTAAATGAAAGTATTTTTGTACTGTATGTAAAAAAGTTTTTTCAAACAGTTTTTTTAGCAAGCAAAAATAAAAGTTGAGCACTTTAATGCTTAGTTTTGCCACTTGCGCTTCTTAGCTCACAGATATTTAAAATATTGATCACACTTTATTTAAATGAATTTATTTTAACTATTATATATATATATATATTGTCCCTCGTATTTTTTAAATAGTTTTTTATGGTTTTAATTAATTTGAACCTTTCAGAGTTGACACTGTATGATGGGCTGTTTTTACGAGTTGTGAAGTTTATTTCCTTTACGTTATATAATATCTCCGACTATGCTCCTAAATGATTAGATTTATTTTACAACAAGACGAAATACTTATTATTATAATTATTATTATTATACATTTATATATGCTGACATTTAAAGAAAATCAGTTTTATTGATTTTATGCATACAGTGCAGTTCTGAGATTAAAAAGAAAAATATGCGGAAAAAGATTCTCACAAAATTTTAACTAAGTTAGGCATATTGGTCAAATGGTTATTGTAGTAACCTATGCTTAAAGAAAAATCAGTTTTAACAAAATATGTCAGTTTAATATTTTAGTACTAAACAAGATGTTTTACCTTTTTTTTTACTTAGAACTTTTTTAAAGGAACATATCTTAAGGAAATTGATATTGAATTAATCTCATCTTTTCTCAAATCTGCGCTGTATTTCTCCTGCAATGTGAATTTATGCTTTTGTATGTCTGTTGTTTGTGCTTTGTAACCTTCTCAAACTTGTATATAAGTTATTTACATATGACTGGAGGGTCATTCTGTTACTGAAGTAGAAATTGAAGATTGACTGTAAATGACGCAACTGAAAATGACTGCACGGATGTGAATATGGTATAATTTCACTTTCACTTTGTACTTAAATATGCATACGTTTTAAGAACTTTCTCGTCTGCACATTGTTTTGTCAGTAACTGTTGTTTTTGTAAAGTAACCTCTGTCCATCTTTTAAACTCTTTCATTTAAAAATATATACATAATTCTGTAATAGGTGAAATTGGCACGAAAAAAATCTGGCATTAAATAGGTCAATATTACCTTTTTAATAAATAGGTCAGTGTGACCCATTTATGTTGTACATATAGAACTAGGTCAAGGGAATTTTTTCACGTTAAAGGATTAGATAGAATCATTGTGGTTGAGATTGCGCCCTCTCAGCCATTTTTATGGGTATGGCAGCATATGTATAGTGTATTCAGTAGTACTAGAATAGAATTCTGGTGACCTTTTTGTGCAATTAATAGCAGGATCTCTCACCATATAGATCATATTGAACACCTTAATGTCCTTAACAAGAAAATATTGATATCCATATGGTATTCCAGTTGGACACTCACTGATGTCAGTATTTATTATTTCAAAATCGAACATATTGAAAATCAGTGTAGACTTGAAATTGAACAAATTCATGAATAAAATTATATAATGTATGTGACAGTCATTAATTCAATTTTGTAATGAAAAATTTATGGTCAATATTTAAAGTCCATTTGAAATATGTAAGTGGTTATTATTGCTTTCCATATGGTCCAATATTATTCACTGTTGATGTTTATGTAAAGCCTGGCTGCAAGCTAAAAAAAAAAAAAAGGCATGTAATACCAAAATGAAACTCTTATTTAGGAGTAAGGGCATTGTAAAATAGGTGATAATTTTAATTGACCAATGTGTATATCTAAACTACTGCAGATGTATGTTGCGCTGTATTTAATAAACTTAACAAACATTTCAAATATCTGTAAAGGCATGGGATTATTTATAAATAAATCATTCAGGTGAAAATTTTGATTTAAATGGAAGAATTTTAATACCTAGCAGATAAACTAATGAAATGAAGTGGACTGCTTTTGTTTCAGAACATTGATGTACTGTGTATTTATAATTTTTCTAAGTCAACTTTTACTATAGAAAATTTGACATTCAAGCCATATTTGTTCTGTTGATTAAAGGTTCATATTTTAACAAACACCCTGATTTTAACAGCAACGTTTTACATGTGATTTATTAAAAAAAATTAGTGATTTTAAAGATCATTTATTGATTAGCATGTTAAGCGAACAAGTCATTGTTGAAACGATTTCTTATCAAACTCTATGTAAAATATGATGTACAAAGTTATAATTCCAGTAAAATAACTGATCCTTTGGGAGAACCAGAAACGTGTTTATTGTCACTTATAAAGGATTAATTAATATTTTGAATAAGTAAATCAGTAAATGTGGAACCAAATTTGTAGGGTACATGTACAACGTGAAAATAACAGTGGCAAATCTTAATGCAATTTGTGATTTGAGAAAAGAATATACTTTTTGCTTGAAAGAAAAACAAGAAATATATTTCAAAAATGAAATGAATCTATCAATTTACAGGGATAACAACTCTTCATTTTGGCAAGAAAAGTGACATAAAGCAGATTTTTTGGGGGCAAATGGTAATTCTCATACTGACCATTTTTTTTTTTTTTTTAACGGTAGCCATATATGAAGGTCAATGTGGTCCAATGGCAAGCACATATTTCAGAATAATTGCGATAACCGCTTTTTTGGTGGTTAAATTGAATTGAATGTATTTCTGTCTATTGTTTTCAATGTATTGGAGATTTCTTAAATCTTATATGAAGAGTTGTTATCCCTTTAAGCAACAAAAATTTGATACCCATTGGAAAAGCTTAAACTTAATTTAAGAATATATATGTATTTTGATCTGCACATGAACTTAAGAAGTAAATGCGAAATTTACAAAAAAAAAAACTAATACTTAATTAAAAATATCCACAATGAGGAAAATTTGCACAAGTGTGACATTGAGACTGACTTAGAAATTAGTCTAAATTAGACACATATAATTATGCACAAGTAATAAGACGATGTATTTAACACTGGGATTATGTAGACTACATAGGGGATAATTGAGACAGTGTCTTTAACCCTTTGTTGTACACTGACTGATGAAAAACTTCCTATCACAAAGTTAGACCCAAACCCAGGGACGGATCCAGAGATATTTACTGACAGTCTTCCAAATTATCTTTGTTGGTCCATCCTCCATTTTTGATCGCCTTCCGACAGAAAAAACAGATACCCATCAATGTAAACTAAAAATGTGACCATCTTTCAGAGGACCCAGAAGATGGTCTCAATACACCCCTGAAACCAGTTACCTCCCAAAAAATGAAAAAAAAAAATTAATTAAAAGTCAATGTGTAGGACACTCAGTGCCACAGCTTGATAAAGCAGAGGTGGGTTGAGGTGGGCTTCTGGGTACCCCGGAAGACGGTCAGATTTTTAAATTGACGTTGACAGGTATCAAATCTTTTGTGTCAGAAGACAGTAAGGGAGGATGGATCATCAAAGATAATTTTGGAAGACCGTCAGGAAATATCTCTGGATCCAACCCTGTAAAGGATTATGTCTCTGTGGGTCTGCCTTTTGTGTCGGAATATTTTCACAAAGAATAAAAAATTTGTACAGGAAAGCAGCCTTCCCTTTTGAAAAAAAACTTTATTGTGTTCCGTGCCTGATACCCCACCCCGCCATCTCCCACCCCACCAAACCCAACCCCAATCCCTGCCCCACCAACCCCCGTCTGCAAATTGCCAATTTTTCATAAAGTTCCGCCATCCATTCACTCCAACTGCGATAGCAGAAGTACATTTCTAACCAGCCAGAAAACGTTTTGTTAATCATATTATGTACAAAGGATTGACGGCTACAGATTGGCATTGAGGCATACACCCCATTTCCATAGATTAGATCGACCTACTTTAGATCGACCTAACTCCCTGGGGGTTCACGCTAAATAGCTGTCAGCCGGGCGGACACGAAAGTTAATTACCCCCTTACAGCTTGTAGTAGGCGGGACGGACATTTAAGTCAGATTATCTGAAAGTAATCTAGTGAGACTCCCCGCGGGGATAGATCAATCTAAAATCTATGGGAATAGAGCCATATTTTACATAATTTTTAAGGATAGACTAACATTGTTTACTACCGTTGGTAATAGAACTTAAAACAATATTGCTAGCTCTGCATCTATAGCATAAGTAGCTAGGACGGAAATTGAACAGCTAATTTAGTAGAAATAGTTTGTCGTCATGTTTTCTGTTGTGATCAGTATGTACGTATATTAAATGTTATACGTAAATTCATTTGGAAGTTTTTTTCCTGGTAGTCTAATAATTATAATCTTACATATGATACTGAAAATATGAGAAAATTCAAATTCTGACCAAATGTAGAGCATTTGTGATTGGACAGTTAAGGAATGGCTTCTAATATGTGTTTAGAAAGTGCTTTGACAGGACCTCTTAACATCTAAAAATTATAGTTTCATTGGACCTGAAAACTTATATTGAACAAATATTCATGTAAATTAGATTAGTAAAGAACACAAGAAGTTTTTTTTTTTTTTTTTAAATTATGAGGGGAGGGGAGGTATCTTGGTTTACATCAGTAGATTTAAAATTTAAAGTCTATCATGATAAAAGTAAGGCCATTTCACATCGTGTGGTATTCTTTACTTGACCAGTTCACACTCGGAGGTCCCACTTGGTCTCTTACATTATAACATAAAATTAACAGGGATTGTCAGCAAAAACCTTCAACAGGACGGGATGAAAAAGCAAATCTAATTTACTTGAATATTTTTCAACTTAAATGTTTGATAGTGCAAGTCGGACCCGTTTTCAGGTTAAACAGTTCTGTCTGTACCCAAACTTAGGGCATGCCTGTTGGTCCAATTCTGATGGGCCCCTTAAGATATATTAATTGGTGATGGAGCATGGTGGTTATCTTGAACTCTGCTGACGATTTTTCTCCCTTGTTGTTTTGAGTGCATGCACAGTTTGATCAACATTTAGACTGCATTTTAACCCTGAGTGAGATGCGGTGCTAATGTTACTAATTTAACAATTGGTTTACAATGGGATATTTTTTCTAGAGGTTATGATTTTGCTCATTGTAAAGTATAAGAGTTTCTTGTCTACAAATAAAATCGATTTTTATTTCTGAACTTTGTCATTTGGGCGGAGATGTGTGAAAAATGAGAAGATTTTAATTTTATCTGTTTTGCTGTGATATATTATTTTTTAAAACTCCACAAATGACGGGGCTTCTGAAGCTACTTTTACCGATTTTGTTTTTGAAAAAAAGAAAATGAAATATTCAGTTGAAAATTTACTCAAAAAGAAAAAATATCCCTGGGGTTTTAACTTCTTATTATTTTATATTATTATTTGGATTGATCTCTATGCATGCTGCTGCTTCACAGGAAAGAACCCCATAGCAACCATCTCCATGGTGACACTTAACAATCAATGTTTGGCAGTTGTCTCGATAGTTACAATTCCAAATGATCAAATATACAATTTTTCCTTTCACTTGAAAGTGATCTGATTGTGTGAGATATTTGCAACTTGCTACAAATCTAAAATTTGAAAATTTATTTTTGTCAACATGGACAGAAAACAAATCAGATTAAAATCAAACCACTGATCAAAAAAAGAAGAAAAAGAAAAGAAATGGAAGACCAAGTAAAAAAAAACCTTGGAGATTGTTTTTAAAAAACCTGCACACATAGTAGCAGCATGTTTGTGTGCCATATGAGCTCTAACTCTACTAACTTTCTCTCTCTCCTAACTGTCTGGGCTGCACCCTATAGATCTCCTCCAACACATCATCAACTGTCACATCTACCACACTCATAACAACAACCAATCAGGAGCAAGGTCAAGGCCAGGAAGTGCCACCCAAGAAGATCCCACCCCCAGTTCCTGAGAAAAAATGGAAACGTTCTTCAGTTGCTTCATCGTGTGACTCCATGCAGAGCTCAGTTTTGTCCATAGAGGGCAATGATAGCAATGATGAGATGGTGGACCCTGTCAAGCAATCCCGCGTACCGAGTGGAATGACCAGCAAAAGGAGATCTCTGGCAGATGCCGAGGAGGTAAAATAAGTTCTGTTCTGTGATTGGTCGCGTCCTCATAAAGGTAATTTTCTGAATAATTGAAAGCAGTGCGATAATTCTAACATCTGTGTAATCATGGTAAAAAACTAGTCAGTTTTCTTAGGAGATAAAATGTGTTTTCAGGCTATGGGACAGGCTGTTTCAACCCTTCTTCACCAAAGGGCCTTGATCACTGGCCTGACTCATCCAGAAAACACCTTTAGTCTTTTCAGAAACAATTTACTTTTTTACCATCATTATACTTGAAAAAAAGAAAAACTTAGTTCACTGCATCTGTGTTATCTTTCGAAGTTTGAACATTAATATCTGACATTTTACTTGCCATGATGTCTTCAGCTACTAGAATTTTTCATGACATTAACTGGTAATGTAAACTATATGGTGATATCACAGCCAACTAATAGTGATCCCCATAAAACTTTGCTAGTGATGATGTCACTGTCTTATATCCCTGAGCACTTTCAATGACACTTTCAATGGCATCGGACTTGATGACATCACCACACAACTTGATGACATCACCACACAACTTGATGACATCATCACTTTTGATAACAATTTCATGTCCTCACATCTGACTGAAATGAGAGATGTTTATTTCTACACAAATCTGGAATGCCACTCACATAATTTTCATTTTGGTCCTTTGGGTATGCATGGTGAATTGTTCCTAATAGCATAAACTCGCCATCACTGGGGCAAGGTAGGGTGAGGAATTTTGCCTTTGGGTCTGTGCAGGCAAGGATATATTTAATCTGGAAATGGGAAAACTTGTGCTATTTGTCACAAACAGCAGAGAGATTCCATTTCTTTTGAAGATTTTTCTAAGAGCATGTTTATTATATTTACTTACATTTTCTGTAAAGTATATATAACATAATATGAAACATTTAAATATATACAAAGAAGTCATAACTAAATTGGGCAAAAAAGATGCCCTCAAACAAAACATTAAATCCCTTGATAGATCCTGCTGATTTGCAGATAATACAAGTTTACCTCATTTTCGGTCTGAATTTATCCTTGTCTGAACAGACCTTTAGCTACAACCCATTGCACAAGGTTTCTGGTCCTGTCCAAAGGTGGCACCAACTGTTGCATTTTATACAAGGTCCAGAACATTGAATTGCAATCAAGTGGGTGCCTATGCAGCTTAATTACATTGTTTTGTGGAGAGAAATGCTCAATGTTTATGTTGTTATGCTGAGCAGGCTTTGGTCAGATTACAATTAATGTTTTTTTAATCATACTGATCAAATTGAATTCAATTTTTTTGATGATTGTTGAAAATTTTAGGAAAAGAGCCTGTGTGACATATCCATATCAGTATATTTTTGAGGGGTACATTTTAGATTGTTCATTATGTTTTGATACTGTGGATATGATAGAAATGTATATATTATGATAATAGTGTATTATGGCACTAGTGCATTTTACAGTGTCCAAACATATTTACATTATGAATTATTTCCATTGACTTGTAGCTTATACCAGAAAAATTTTTCACACTACATATAGCAATAAAGTTGCTTTTTGCTAAGTTAAAAGGTTGTGTTAGGTCAAGAAGCCATTACGTAAATTATTTGTCTTCTGCTGAAATAACCATAACCATCCCGAAAAGATAACCTCAAAGTTATCACTGAATTTGTTTTGGTAGATACCATTTCTTTTCTATTTTGTTTCTACAAAGATAAAAATTGGGTATTTATTTATTTATTTATTTTCTTGTAATTAGGGAATATACAGTTGCTGTACTTTGTCAGGAACAAAAATCGATAATCTCACCTAAAATCTAAATTTAAGCAGAACAATGGTGTTTGTTCTAGTGATAAAAATCAATAAAATTACGAAATCCAAAACCATTTCTGTGCCACAGTCCCTAGGGATCTATCCCATAATCCTGTGGGATTCCACCATCTGCAGCAGAACGTAACATCTGGGCTGTGAAGAATCATTGGCAACTTTCCTCACAGTCTGGGAAAAAAGCACTCATTGTTATTCACTAATTAAGTCGCTCATTAAGCCATGAATAAAGAGTGTTTTACGACTAAAGGTTGAAAAAAGAAAAACAATTACAGCACTACAGTCATTAGCATTTATATGGTCTTTTTGTGAGGTAACATGATCTTGAATTAAATAGTATAATTATACATTTTAAGGGGCTAATTTGGTGTTATATCAGAATATTTATATTTTTATTCTTCATTAGCTTTTGAGCCAAATGGCCCATCAGTAACACAGATATTCAAATTGGTAAATACACACAATCACAAGACAGATTAAACAAGTAGAAATGGATAGTAGCCATTAGCTCCACTTAAAGTGAATGATTTTAAAAGCAGAGTTGTCTTTAAATTGTAAAAATGAGGTGTGTATTTAGTTTGTGAATAAATGTGAAGAAACTGTGATATCGTTCTAAAAAAAAAAAAAAAAAAAAAAAAAAAAAAAAGAACCACTGACAGTGACATCAAAAACTTAACACAGTTTTGATTGCAGTATTGTGGAATGCAGAATGTTACACCATACTCCTTCACTTTTTCTAATAATTTTTGCTTGAATAATGAAACTTTATTTGATGTGCAGCTTTTTCGAAAAGGCTTTTTGGCCAACTAATGCCTTATGTGTGGCTGCTTTAAATGTAACCAGCACCAAGGGCCTTTAACATGAAAGGGTTTTTGTATTTCTGTCGGACTTGTCAGCCTTTTTTTTTTTTTTTTTTTGGCTACGTATTTCCAGTTGCCCTAAGTCTTCACATTGGCAAGTTAACAAAATGCATTCTGAGGACGTATTGAACCTAAGAGAGAAAAACTGATAAAAGGGCCGATTTCAAGGTTCTGAAAATTTTGCCTGTACTGCTTGTTAGGATATTTCAATGTCAGGAAATGAGAAGATGACAATTATCTCATTTCATCTTAAAAAGTCCCATTTCCCTAAGTCTTATTCCCTCATGACTTCAATTAGTCTCATTCTCTGACTACCTAAGTTAGTTTTGATGTGAATGCATCCAGTTACTGTAATGATATAAGAAATTGATGAGAAATTGATTTATGTCATGAGCTCTTAAAATTGCTGCATGTTAATGATGAAGGTTTATGTACAGTAAATCACCAATAAATGTTAAATTATGAATAAGAATTAAAATTTCAAACCATTGACAGAATAGAACTCTTTAATAATTACAGGATGTTTACTGTAATACTTCATGTACAAAACACCATTTGAAAACGTACTGTTTTTGTATTCCATGGGAACACAGGGACGGATCCAGAGATATTTTCTGACAGTCTTCCAAATTATCTTTGTTGATCTATCTTTTTGACCGTCTTCCGACAGAAAACATTAGATGCCCGACAATGTAAACTTGAAAATCTGACCGTCTTCCGGAAGACCCAGAAGACGGCCTAAATCCGCCCCTGGAACACATGGATGTTGTTGATGTAAATGCTTAAATGTGTACTCAAAATGGGTCACTATCAAAATGTGACCAAAAGATCTCTCTTCCCCCCCAACACACACACAAACAATTTTGATATGTCTGTGGAAGACAATAGAGAGTGACAGTATTTAAAAAAAAAAACTTAGAAAAGCCTGCTGTGTGGGATGATGATTCATGCTACAGTAATTACTCTATATTTTCAAACATCTTACTTTTGCTACCATTACATTTTCTCAAGATTTATCATTTTCATTTACTCACAAATATACAACTTTCTACACAAAACCAGCTAATTTTTTAAAAAATTATTAACCAAATCTAAGAGTAGTATTTATAAAGCAGTGGTTTGTATGAATTTATGAAATTATTTTGTTCGAATTTATTGAGTAACTATGGTAGTAAGATAGCACAATGATCAATAACGAAGTCTGCTGACTGTTAGAAGTGAACTCAGACGTTACCATTGGAGGATAGACAGTGCAAGTGAGACATTGGATGATAAGGTGGGAGAGAATATATGTTATATGATATACAGACACAGAGTATATTAGAATATACAAAAAAAAAAAGGTTTGGATATTGTCTTCTATTATATGCTAACAAAAATGATAGAATATGTGAAAAAATATGGGGTATTATTTTACAAAATAATGCAGACAAAAATATTAAAACTTTAAAAAAGATGAGATATTATGTTATATTATGGGGATATTATTTTATGTAATATGCAGACAAAAAGTTTCATGCAACAGCAAAAATTTTCATGTTACAACAAAGATAGATGTTATATAATGCAGACAAGATATTAGAAGTTGAATTGTACCCTTGTGCTTAAAAATTGGATAGTTATGGCACATTTATTTGAAAGATTTAACTTGATTTGATAACATGTTTTAATGTTCAGAAAATTGTTTACCATCTACTAATTTCGGTTTGTGCTATAAACTTGAAAATGTGCTGTACTGGTTGTTGTTATACTTGTATATTATACGCTAAATTAATGTCCAGGCCTACCCAACTACCAGACTCGGCACCGAATGATCCTGAATTCACCAGTAGATTAGACAACACTACTCGTTTTCAAGGTGTGAGTCAGTACACACTTCGAAGTATCAGACGCGACACCGCTCTTGCCTAGTACACGCTGTAATAGGGATGATTCTGGGTGGGGTTGGAAAGTAGTGCATCTCATCTCAAAGTTTTTTCCATGGTATGATACTGTGAAATGCGTACTGATGCACACCTTGAAAACAGGTAGTGTGGTCCGATTTACCGGTGAATTCGGGCTCATTCGGTGCTGAGTCTGGTAGTTGGGTAGGCCTGAATGTTGAAAAACCTCAGTAGCATAGAGCACATGTAAATGTAAAGTGCTCTATTTATTATTATCATTAAAAGACACCAACATCTTTGTTATGAAACGTTGTTGGGCTACTCCTGTTTAACTTGGGTCAAAGAAGACATAGTCAATCTTCGCTTCTAAGTTAAGACCAATTTCTGAACTAGAGTTCTCTGGTGATACAGGTTCCAGATCTAAGAATATTTTAGTCTTATTTTAAGAAAAAGGGAATATTTATAACCTAAGTCTTTAAATAGCTCAATGTATCAGCCAAAGAGTTGAAGAAATATTTAGTGTGATTATTGATCTCCCCTTGGGCAATGTGGTTTGTAATTAAATTACAGGGTATTCAAAGTCAGCGTGATGTTGATTAGCATCTGTCAGAGAGGTTTGATACTATATGGGCTAGATGAATGTATTCATTTAGTATAGATTTCTTTAGAAGTATCCTCTGACTTTGTATATTGTGTCACTCGAAGATTGTTCAATAGTATGTGTCATTGTGCGTCAAGCTGAATTATTTTACCAGTGGTATCTGTACAGTGCGTAAGTCATAGGCGCCATTCACAATAGAGGACTGACTAGTCCGAGGGTCAAATATGGCGTCCCACTTGAATACTTCCCCATAGGATATCTATTCAGTGTGTATTAGCAGATTAGATTGCAAGCTTTGTAGTGGGTCGCCATGTTTGACCCTGGGGCTGGTTAGTTTCCTGTTTTGAATGGGGCTATAAATACTGCAAGATGTCTGGAGTTTATATGAAAATAATACATGATGAAGTTGTTGTTGTGGCATTTCATTTATATTTTTAGTGAAGATTCTGCTATGCATTTGTAGTTTGTAATTTGCAGACATAAGGACTACCTATTCAAGAAGTATGAAGGACAAAAATCCATTTTTCTTGGCATTTTTAGACCAATCACAAGAATAAGAAATGGAAAGAAAAACAAAGGTCTATTTTTCTTAGCATTTATCCTACAAGTCCCCACCAAAAACCAAAATCAACAATCTTTTCTAGACATAGAACAGGAAAAAAGGACCAAAATTTTTCCCCAACATTTAAGCCCATGACCACCCTTCAGAAAACCAGCCTCAAAAATCATTTCAGGAGAAGAAATAGGAAGAAAGGCAAGTCAATTTTTTTCTCAACATTTTCAGCCGACAAGTCCCCACCGCAAATCTGAAGTATCAAATATGGAGAAGCTGCCCTTCAGTGCCAAGAAAAAATATTTTGAGGAGGAAATTGAGCATCAGGGACAGACTCAACCGGCAGAAGGTTAGTAGCACAGGGAGTTGGGATATATCTAGTGTGAGACTAATTGACTTGGGTTGAAGAAGTCAACTTTTTGTGTCAAAGTGAATTAAGATGATATTTGACGAAGGTCTCTAACAGAAAAAGTATCACAGTTGTATCCAAGTTGTGTTTTAGGAAGCATTTCTTTAAAAAATTTAAAAATTTAACACACTGGTTTGATTTGAACAATAGTGGATTTAAACTAGCAGTTAAGAAGATGTTTGAGGAATAGGAAAATCTCAAGCCATCCACAAAAAATTGTAAGCCACTTGGGTAAAATTAGTTAAAAACAAGTTCCATTTTATATGTTTTAGAAAAGAAATTCAGTTTCTTGACTCCTGATGAGATACAGAAAATTAAGCTGGAAGAAGGTAAGAGGTTCATCAAAATAAATTCCAAACATCAAATTAAAGGGATAATAACTCTTCGTATGAGAGCTATATTTCACAATAAAAACATTGTGAATAACTCATAGAAATATTATATATTCTGTTTTACCACAAAAATGGCAGTTAAAGCTATTATTCTGATATCTGAGCTTGTCTTTAGACCACGTGACCTCCATTGATGGCTATACTCTGCTAAAATCTCTTAAGAGATTTTAACAAAAAACCAAACTTTTTAGAAAAAAACCAGGGACTAACTTTGAATGTAAAAATGGATTCATTAACCATTGGTAAGTATGGGAAAATTGTTGTTTACTCCAGGAAAACTCATTTTTTGGCGAAACGAAGAGTTATTATCACTTTAAGTTGTTTATAAATTTCATTCATCTATTTATTTTTAAAAAAACATGGAATTTAACTTAGAATATTTATGAATCCAACTCTTGGCTTGTAAATGATTTGCATAATTTTCTCCAAATTCACTTCAAATGATTACTTTACTAAATCATAACTCAAAAGCGTCTGCTCATCTAATGTCAATTATCTTCAGTTATTAGATACAAGATAATGCTGTGTCTCAAAAAGATCATGTATCTTGAAATTTCATTTAACATCTATAGTAACTCATAAGATGAAAATAATTTAATTATGAACCGTATCATATTCAAATTTATACAGTCAACCCTCAAATGAAAAAAGACATTGAAATATGAGAGTGACAGTAAATCAGTTATATCTGTTGTTTACGGAATCTATTATTATAACTCTTATTGCATATCACAGTTAAAAGAAAAAATCCTCTACTGGATATTCAAATTTAGTTTTCCTTCCTCCATCAGAGAAGAAGATGCTGTCCATGTCCCAAGAGGAGCTGATCTCTTACATGAAGGACCAAGGGCAGACCACTCCAGAGCAGAAAGACATGAACCAGGTGCTTTCTAGGTAGGTGGTTCAGGGCTTGAGACCCTTTTCACATCCAAGCTTCATTTTGCGAGATTGACAACTTATTTATCTGGCTGTTATGTAAGATAGTCACCTAGACAGCACTTGACAATTAACAACAAGACTAAAAAACATTTTCATGTTTAGCATTTCTGTTTTCTGTACTGCTCCAGATAAACAACTTAATATTACATGATAAAGTCACCTAAATGGATTTCCCCCCCCCCCCTCCACCGTACTCAACACAGCCATTTAACCAGTTTAACTTTGTGAAAGGGAGTAAAAACCTTCGTAGCAGAATGACATGTTCAAACCAGTCAAATTGTTGCTGATCAGAAAACTGTAGCGCTCAAGAAATAACCATATCTGTTTCAAGCTGACTTGATCCATCGTGAATTCAAAGTGTCATGCATCCTTACCATAATTACCCATTTTATTAGAAATGTTGATTTGATGAAAGTGTTTATATGAGTGATAAACACTTTGGAAACATTGCTAATTCTTGATTCTCTTTTCCTTTGATTTAGCTTCAAATTCAGGTACTTACATTTCTGCATGTAGTGGGAAGTTTTCATAATATGTGAACGAACAATTTTTGTAAGGTGTAGAAATAAGTTTTCATTTTGGTATCATTGGTTGTTGTGTGTTCTTGTAAACATGTATATGAAATCATTGTATGGAGTGGGAATGCAAGTTTACTTTCAGTTTGGACTTGCATGCATATATTACTTGGTTCCTGATCTTCACACAAAGTTGCCTGTTTATTGACTATTCATGACTGAAAGTTCTGATTTAGCTGATGAAAATTCTGAAATTCGAAAAAATTTGACTTTAAGATTAAATTATGATGACATGAGATTTTAAAAATTATAGACAGAATTACAATGTTTTGCTCTCATGTTGAGGAAATGTTTGTGCTCATACTATTTGTACATTAGCGTTCAGTATTGTGTGAATTTATTTTGAAGTTCATTCTTTGTTTCATAACTTTTATGTTTATTTTAGTAATATTGCATGGTGTCTGGATGTTTCTAACAGTGTTGTAAGAATAATCATTGAATAAACTGCTTGGAATTCAAAATGTCATATTGAGCTTGGTCAAAATGCCAAGCAAAATCCATCAAAAAGTCTTGACTTAAAGTAAAAACCAGCCTCATTTGATACTGATCAGAACTATATTTTTAATTATTACAGTAACATTTTAGTAATGTGACATTTTTATTTGACATAATAAATGCTATACTGCATGAACAGTGAAATTTTATCACAACATATACAAAAAGGTATGCATCTGAGCTTCATGAATATTTTCAATATCATAACTGCTCACAGATCCAGGGAAACTGTTTTCTCAACTCTTCCATTTCAGCTCCCCAACAGAAGGTTGTGTTCGCACTGCCAAGGCAGAGAAGCGCCTTCAGGAAAAGCTGAAGAGAGATGGTGTCGAGAGCCCATCAGACCGAGCGCTCTCTCCAGCAGAACTCAGGTTACAGGAGGCCGAGAAGAGGGCAGCATGGCGGAAGGCTAGGTGAGATCAATCAGATTGATTGGTTGGTTTGTCGGTCGGTCAATCATAGATCGATTGGTCAATCGATTTAAACTGACTGACTGATTTGTTGGTTGTTTTTATTGATTGATTTGATTGGTGGTTGGTTGGTTACCCTTTATTGCCCTCCTCCGTCCATCTTCTCTGTTATCTGGGAATAGAATCACCTCATACATTCTAACCTTTAAATGACTGAGCATTTTTAAGTTGCATCATGTAAGTATTGGTATTTAAAATGAATTGGGAGTACATTATTTGTTTACTGGTTGATTGTTTGGTTGCTTGATATATTGACTGAATGGTTATTGATTGATTGGTTGGTTGAGTTATTGATTGATTGATTGATTTATGACGGAGTGATTCATTGATTGGGTAATAGAGTAGCTGATGGAATGGTAGGTTAGGTGATGTATCAGTTGACTTGTATGTTGATTAACTGTTTATCCTATCCAGGATGAAGTCTTTGGAAGAAGACGCAATGAGAGCACAAGCTGTGATAGGAAAGATGAAGGAGATGTCCGAGCAAGACGCCAAGGCCGAGGCCTCCAAACTTGTGGCTGTAGATATCAACGTGGAAGGTAAGACTGGGTTCCCATAAACCTATTATACTAGCAGGATCAATCTAACTCTGAGGGGATTCTCACTAAATTGCATACAGTTTAAGGGGATTTAAGTGTCTGTCATGCCCACTGAAGCTGATAAGGGGTAATTTACTTTCGTGCATGCTAAAACTAAATGCAATTTAGAGAAAAAATCCTCAGAGATAGATAGATCCTGCTAGTACGATAGAGTATGGGAATGGTCCCTGGGTCATCTCAATCCTCAGTCTATGGTGTTAATACTGCTCCCCATGCCTGATGACAGTAATATTGAAGCTGGGCCATAAGATAAAATTGTATAGTTTTTGTTAACTATTTCTGCTTTAGGCCTGTACATTTGGTATTTCCTGAATGGTCAATATGCAGGAAAAAAAATTAGAAAACACCATCTATCCTTTCTGTTATCTGGGAATAGAATTAAATTATTCATTCTGACCTTAAAGTAACTGCATGTTAAGTTGCATCATAATAACACAATTTGTACCAAAATTTAACCTTGAAATTGCCTTATTTTTGTGTCATTTATTTTCTAGAAAATGGCGAGGCCAATGGACACAATGAGGTAATGTGATTGTGTTAGAGAAGACAACTTGATTGTGTTATTGTCACATCTACCACAATGCTGCATCACCACCGTGATGTTACTCAAGATGTACTATCAGGGTCCCCCAACTGTCCACATATTATACCAATAACTTCATCATTTTATAGGAATGTAGTATGGGTCATTCCATGATAAAAAGTACAGATTGAATCACAACATTAACACATTCTGCTAATTTTTGTAGCCCAAGTGCTCACTTTTTTTGTGGAATGACCCAAGGAAGTTCTTTTGTCCCTAGCTTGAGAAATAAACTGATACTTTTCAGGTCATATTTCATATGGCAAAATCTGACTGTAAATATGTGACATGTTAGCCGGTAAAGTATCAATAAGTTTGTTTCTCAAATTGTTGGCAAAAGAAGTTCGACATTTCTATTGAAATTGCATAACTAATGAAACTTTTCAACAATTCCCTTTTTTTTTTCAAATCAGTTCCTCAGTCCCCTTTCCCTCTCTGTTGTAATTCTTTCAATGATGATGCAATACAAACTTTGTGTCACAAGCCATTCCAAGGACTTCATTGTTGACTCACCTGACAGTTGCACCATACCATCTCACTTTGGGGCATGTTTCACAACTTGACTTTAGACCAAAAGTCCAGTCTAAAACTTTTAGAGCACGTTCAGAACAGCAGGCTAACAGATCCAGTGATCAGATATGATGACCCACTTAAAACTTGCCACTTAATTCCTGATTAGACTCTGAATAGATTCTTCGCAGTGATTATGCAATGAGCATTCAAGTGTGTCGGCCATATTTGATCCATGGATCTGTTAGTCTGATGTTCTGAATGCGCTCCTAGACCAAAATTTTGATCTACTTCAAAACATTAGGTTAAAACCCAATTTGCTCAATGAAGAAGAGTAACCATTGTCTAAAATAGTATCTGTTTCTTCTTTGTTATACAATATTTAGTATCATGCAGGGCTTTTCCCAGGATTGGGGGTACAGGCCGTCCAAAATTATCACCTGTAATTTCCTACAAAACTTCAGGGACTCCAAGAATGCCTAAAGCCATCATGTTTCCAAAAATTCCATAAGCCATCCAGCCGTCTTTGAAAGGCTTTCCAGTGATGCTGGCAGCCATCCAAATGACAGCTGGAGGGTTTACTGGGAAAACCCTCGATATCATGTGACAACTGCTATTTTATCTTGCAGTCAAAACGGGGGGGGAAATTTGGTCAATTTTCAGCCTTGAGTTCTTTCATGAAACAGAACATATCATTTGAACACACTTGTTGCAAATGTGCATGTGGAATTTATTTAGTTTCACACCAAAGTAACCCCACTGAATCCTTGCTTTTGTCATGGCATTTTGTCAACTGTGTCCACTCAACACTATGAAGTTTTTTTTTTCTTTTTTTTAGATGATAAACATGAAACATTTCAGTTTTCACCACATTTTGACTGCATGAATGATATATTTCACCTGTTAACAAGATGTATTAATCCAAAGTAGTGGTGGAGGTTTTTCTTTGTTAGACATATTTTCTGAATGTTCCGGTGAAAGTTGGTAATGGTTTATTGGTTCTCTTTAACATATATATCCTTCTTTCTTCATTAGCATGCTAGTCACGTAGCTTCTAATATGGGTACTAACACCAGTGTATCCAACGAAAGTCTACCCACTTCAGCCAATCAAAAAACACTTGTCATTGTCCAGCATGAGGCAGACAAGAAAGTGAAAGAAACCTCCCGTGTGATTGGTGAAAATGTCAGGAGGAAAACTGAGGAGTATTTTGATGAAGAAACTGGCAAAGTGCAGTTTCGAACCGTTGAATATGTCGAGAAAACTATCGAGCATGAGGTATGACCTTCATAGTGTGGCTTGGTTTGACCTTCACCTTGACCTTTTCATTTGTGCCATTTGGTTATCATTCTTATCAAGGTTTTTTAATAATTATTATTTTGGGATTATTTTTTCCTCCTGATTTCTGCTTGGCATGATGTAAAAGCTTGTGTAGGTCCTATTTAATTTACTTGGTGGTGGTTTTATTTCATGGACAGCATAGGCAATGCCTTTCTAAGCTTCAGTTTAATATAGTTACATAATATCCATTAAATATGATGCAATGAGTTTCTGTTGTTACTAAAAGAGAGACAAGAAGCAGATTTCTCAATTCTGGATGTACTACATGTTTTGGTGAAAGCACAAAATTTAATATGCAAACAAGAGCAGCAAGTACATAAACTTGAATGAAGAGAGAAATAACACACTTGTACCTCAGATTGCTAATAGTTTCATTGATAAATCCTGGTGCAGACATTTTTTCACACACACGCACACGCGCACGCGCAAACATGAAGTTTTGCTGATCAGAAATTTAAAGATAAATAATGGAAAAAGAAAAAAAAAGTACCAGTACATGAAGTTTACTTTTTTAACTGAAAAATGTCTGAATGCCAGCAAAAGAATATCTCTCTGCACATCATAAATAGCAGCAATAGTAAATCATGTACTACTTTTCTACTGTAACATTAGTATTTCATTCTTCTTTGTTTCAGGTTGAGACTAGAACGCAGCAAATCTGTCAACTAGAACTGCAGGACAAATAGACTTTTATCTCAGAAGATCTGGTTGTGAAATGGTGGGGAAAAAACATGGACATGTATAGGGAAAAATGAAGATGGCAAAAATGATGAAGATCTGGTTGTGATTTTTTCCGTATTAGGTTAAAGATAAAAATGGTTACCATACATGGAAATAACCATGTACATATGCCCATAGATGATGATTGCAAAGGCCATATATGGCATACAGACTATGAAACAATGACCATGTATGGCAAACATAAGTTACATGCACAGGACAAAAATGACATGGTGGCATGAAATAAAAACTGCTAACTGATATAGCCAGCCAAGAAACCTCAAGTTCATATTTCATTAAAATAATGATGTAAAGAAGATTCATTAAAAGACTTGCAGGTCTTCACAGATGAAAGATTCAAAGGTGTTTTCTGTGCTTCTGCAAAATGCCTTGTTAAATACATATTTTCTCGTCAGGTTGACCTATTTATATATATTATCCAAAGGTTATCGTTAATGGTATTTGTGAATTTCAAAAATCCACATGTACTAGTTCTTGGGTTTTAAAGGCAAGGGGCATTAAACTTCATGGCAGTTTATAGTTAGTATGTACAGTTAAAACATTAAATTTTATGAAGTATTTTTAACAAGGAGACATTTTGTACAGTGTACATAGTTTATGGTGGCAGGAAGGGACTTGTTTTATGAATAACCACATTTTTGCTCCCAATTTTAGTTTTTTTTGCCAAGTCAAGTAATATGTAGGCTTAGCAAAGGTATCTTTAGATAGGGAAAAAAAGTCCATTCTTCATTGTGTAGTTTTGGACGAGCGCTGAGAACAGCAGTTAAATCCATTCCTAATTTTATGATTGCTCATTATACTTATTGAGAGTGTTGATGTGTTTTAGTCCTTGTTTTATGTGCTCCTTTTCCTTTACCACTCCAAACTACTGGAATTGTGTGTATATTTATTGCAATTTTTTGTATTATCTCCTATATACGGAGCAGCACTTATCATTCATTTCAATGTGTGAATTGTTTTCAGTTTGGTTATACCTGCTCTACTGACTGTTCAGAAGCTTTTAAAGATCAGTTTAATTTGATTGAAATAGGAATTCTTTGTCACAACTTTCAACCTGTGGAGAAAGAAATGAGCAGATACAATATTTATTTTACATTTTAGTAAAACTTCTTTCGAGAAGGGTTTTAGCTTGTTATTCAGGGCACATGTGCAGTACATTTTATCCAAAAGGTGATTTTGGAAATTATTCTTATTCATAAAACCTAAAGCATTGTTCAACGAGTACTTTCACTATTATTCTCCAGTGGGGAAAAGGCTGTTGCTGCAGTATAGATATTATGTGCATTTTTGTTGAGTCACAAGCATTTATTTTGATATACAATAATGAATGACAATTTTTATGTGAAGTTTTGCATGGAAGTGACCTTGAAATGACCTTGCCATAATTTTTGGGTTTTCTTTCTTTTTTTCTTTTATTTTGCTCTGTTGAAATAGTGTTCATAAGATGCATTGTGCAGCCTTTTCTTTTATGTATTTAATTATCATCATTTATTTATACATTTATTTCAACCACTATTACCATTTTACCTGTATTAGAAAATAGTTGGAAAGAGAATGGCAATTACTTCTTTCATGAAATGCTTATTGATTGTTTTTATAAGCTTTACCCATGTGGATTAAGAACAGCTTGCCACTTTTTGTGCTGTTTTAGTGTTTTAACTTAATCAAACCAGTATTTATGTGAAGCTAATGTTGAACACGTTTTCTATTTTTAACTTAAATTTGTAAATTATAACACATATAACAAAAATATATGAATATGAAATGTCACACGCTAGAGTAGTTTGATTCTGGTTGTCAGTATGGGACAAATGTTTAAAAAATCTGCAGAACATGGCAGTTGAAGTCATTGTGCCATTAGTTGACAGCAAAAACACCAAGTAAATGTGATGAAAGCAGAAGCGGGGTTTCTTCTCTGTTGCATTCAGACAGAGCACCAGTTTCTCTACTATGGGGTCATATCATGAAAATGCAAGGCCCATTTCCATAGATTAGATCGACCTACTTTAGATCGACCTAACTCCCTGGGGGTTCACGCTAAATAGCCGTCAGCCGGGCGGACACGAAAGTTAATTACCCCCTTACAGCTTGTAGTAGGCGGGACGGACATTTAAGTCGGATTATCTGAAAGTAATCTAGTGAGACTCCCCGCGGGGATAGATCGATCTAAAATCTATGGGAATAGAGCCTTAGACTCCGTTCACATGAAAAATCTATTTTCTAAAAATCTATTTTCTATTCGAGGTATCTTGTGATCACTCCGAGCGCAGCCGAGAATTAATTACAGCTTTGGAAGTAACTGGCTTGCGCTGCCAGTAATTACGCCGCGGGGTATTCAGGGCACAGACCGTGATCACAAGATACCGTGAATAGAAAATAGATTTTTAGGAAATAGAAAATAAAAGTGAACGGGGCCTTAGTGATACTGGATTTACACCCCATTCTGATTCACGCATTCATGTTATCTGGTTTGGTCCAACCGTTTGGTCCTAAAGTGCAATTAGTGGAATCAGTTTAATTGTCTGATATACGTCCTCAAGAAGCAAGGGGGTAATTAACCACTGTGTGCTGATTAAGCTGATTCTACTGAAAACACTTTAGTGAGAACCCCAGAGCAGAGGTGGACCAACCCAGCTAGTATGATCTGTGAGTTTGTATGTGCCCTTATACTATGGTTGATGTTGAGAACAAAGAACTAAGTGTGGTGGAACTACCTGGTTACTGTCACGCGTTTTTTTTTTTTTTTTTTTTTTTGGGGGGGGGGCAGTATAATTTTTGCATGTGAGATTGATAATGAAATGAATTAAGCTTTTTTTTTTTTTTTTTTTTCAGGGGGAGGGTGCAACTTTTGCATGTGACAGGCACTTGACCTTCCCCTGAGACACTGACCCTTTTGATAATGCCCCACTGACTAAAAATATAGTTTGTATGTACATAGAGAAGTAAAATGATATTGGTAGTTGTATTTACGTACAGATTAAGACTTATCTGACTTTAGCAAAGTAATGTACAGAATAATTAAGAACCTGAAGGATGGATAGCAGTGTAAGGTGCAAGTACCCCGAGTTCCTAAGGTCATTGGAGACTTGCCTGTCTATCATCAGCATATGACTGGGTTTTCAGTGTCTTTTGGAACACAGGGTGATGAAAAATACCTGGTGTATATTAAGTAGTCAACGTCAAAATGTACAGTTTAAAATGTGAACATTCTCTAGCTTGTACAGCTTGTATTTTAATACAGAATGAAATATAATTATGGCTATTCTAAGTGTTGTTGTTATATATAGAAATTTATGTTGGAGTTGCCTGTAGTCGGTGGTCACTAATTTTTAAGAAAAATTTAACATGAAATTTTCTGTATTGAGATGTCACTATTTAAACAAAAACATAACATTGTCTTTTGTGTGAAATCACAAATTTTCTGCTGTTGGTCTTCATGGCATCAGGCTATATGCAATGTTTCATCCATAATCACGAAGAAACAACAAATGCAGTATACGCACCACATAACAGTATTTTATTTTTCAAGCAACCCCAGAAATATACCATCTATCACAGAAACAGACCCTTCACAGATCAATATATATTTAAAGCAAAAATTGTTTTATATTTCATGATCAAGCTCAGTTAACAGTGGCAAAATAAAGCAAAACAAATTGAAAACCTAAATATTTTTCAGCTTTTTTTCCTATATAATGAAAATAATAAAGCTTTACTACATGCAGTTATTATAACACATCAGTCTATAATAATATTGTCCATAAAAAGTGGACCAAAAAAATGAAAAACCATTGATCTGTGCACTAAAAAAACATGGCTTAAAAACTGGAAAACAACTGAGTGCTTTTTAACATAAAAGTCAGCTTAAAATAACTGTAAAGCTTTAACTTTATAATTTGGAGAAAGCCCTTTAAAATGGATGCGAAAAACAAAATGTGCTGGGTGTGAAAATCACTAAATTGCTAATTGTGCTTGTTGTGACCATTAAAGCTGATACAGCATTTATCAATACAGAGTGCACATACGGCAAGAAAAAAGGCAAGAAAACGCAAAGAAAATGCTTTGAAAACAGTGCTTTGGTAATTACGCAATCTTTTCAATGGGCAAAAATGATCAAACTTTCAGATACATAAATTTTATAATCACAGAAATTAAATTTGTATGGCATTTTTGGTGTCTTTACTGCATAGAATAGTACTATATAGTGGCCTGCTTTTTAATTTTGTTGATACCACTCAATAGGAATGTTCTAAATTTAACAAATGAAGACTTAAAAAATACAGTGACTTAAAAAAAAATAGTATCTGTAAAATTTACAATTTTCCCACCCATTGAAAAGACCCGAGTCATTACCATTCTTCAGTTATAAAAACTAATAAATGGTTTAAAAATATATTATATATTTGGCTCACAAGGTACCGATTCCATATCCAACGCTAGTTTCTGGCAATCTGGCCAAAAATGAACAACAGATCAATTGTTTGCATTATTACATTATAGAATGAAAACATTCCGACCCTTCACCAGAGGACCCTGCTCACACAGTGTAATGAGTGATGCTGTTCTTCACCACACCTGATGTCATGTGACAAAGCGCTCCAACACAACTACTTGTCAGTTATCAGGTTTCATGAGCAAAACAGAAGAAAATGTTTACCCTCTTTAGAAAATAGGATTTACTTGTTATAACCACAATAATACAATGAAAATTCTATTTCACCCTATGTCAAATCAACACAAGCACTCCAAATATAATCAGTAAGTTTTTCTTTTAGATGTAAGCGAACATTCTTTAAAAGGGATAATAACTCTTCGTTTTGGCCAAAAAATGAATTTTCCTTGAGTAAACAACAATTTTCCCGTACTTACCAATGGTTAATGAATCCATTTTTACATTCAAAGTTAGTCCCTGTTTTTTTTTTTTTTTTCATAAGAGATTATAACAGAGTATAGCCATCAATGGAGGTCACGTGGTCTAAAGACAAGCTCAGATATCAGAATAATAGCTATATTTGCCGTTTTTGTGGTAAAACAGAATATATTATATTTCTATGAGTTCACAATGTTTTTATTGTGAAATATAGATCTCATACGAAGAGTTATTATCCCTTTAAATGAACTTCTAAAATAGCACTTAAAGCAATGACAGTGATTTAAATTGAATATCATTTCACCAACAAACTCCTCTAAAGCTCCAAAACTCATACTTTATCTTTTACTTAAAGCTTTATCATAATCCACTTAACAAAATTTGATCCTTTGTATTAAATAATAAAAAAAAATTGCTGTTACCTTTTTTGTTTGTGACTACCATGAACAAAACGTAAAAGTAATTCAGAAATGAGAAATGTAAAGAGCCACTCAAAAAAGCAACTGACTCATAATATAATTCTTACTTTTTAAGTAAATAAAAATTATACACGTTAATCTAAAAATTGAAGGTTTGACTATTTACCTATAATAAAATTATTTTACTCTAGGTTAGTACGTAAGCAAAATCTAAAGCAATTTGATCTTTAATTGTATCTATACTAAAACAAATACATATACTAATAAACGTATGCAGGACTGTGTCATTTTTTCAAATGGCTGTAAAACATAAAAGCTGTTTTGATGAAGTGGCTTCTAGCCATTTTTGTGCCCATAAAAACCAACCCTGAACACAGGGTGACTACATGGTCCTCATCATTTCTAAAGGTCAACCAAGGACATCTCACCATACTTGCAAAATGGCTGCCCATCCCTCATATTGCAAATAGTTCATTTTTCTGTAAATTTTAACCTTTTAATCTTCATTGCCAAGGTTGCCATATTCAAATCCATTGAAGAAAATGACATTTTTAGCTTATTTTTTTGTTCTACATTTCTCATTTTGGGTCATTCCCATATGTGTGACAGATTGATGTTTTTTACTTGCAATGATTAGTTGCATTAGAAAGTAAGAGCAGGAAAACTTGTACATTACAAATTTGTTTTTGGATGGATGGATAAAAAGAAAATTAATTCAATTTCCATATTTTTCATTTTTATCTACTTATCTACTTTATCTATTAATTTTTTTCATTCCATTCTTTTCTTTTTTTTTTTTTAATGTTTGAAGATCTGCACTATCCCACATTGTACGTCTGCAATGAGTACAATGCTTGCTCCATACATGTGAAATTCACTAAGGTACCCCAACTTTTTCCCTGTGGTTCTTCATCGCCTGGGCGTGCCAGTCCAGCTGTGCCAACAGCCGCAGTGCCCCCTTACGCATGTGTTCATTCTGTGGTTCTCCCTCTGGGCTGATGGCTTCCATGACTTGGGGGATACCGAAGATATTAGAGACACTCAAGCAGCCAAGCTCTCCCAGAAAACTACGTAGTTGCATGGCAGCTCTCATTCCACCGTATTGACCTAGTAATTAAAAATAATATATATTAATAAATAAAGGAATAAATATTTTAAATTCATATCATAATGCTATTAAATCATTTCTGTCTTGCACTGGTCCATTACTCACATTTAGAGTAATAACCTAATACAGTCAAACATGAATGGTAAATTTACCCATGAAAAATTATGGATAAGTAACAACCAAATTTGTTGATTCAAAAGTTCTGAACAAGCACAATCACATCTGGTACAGTTCTCAATTGAAACAATCACATCTGGAGCAGTCCTCAACTGACACAATCACAACTGATACAGTTCTCAACCAGCACAATTACAACCGGCACAGTTCTCAACTAACACAATAACCTCTTACCTGGTGAATAACACACAATTCCACTTGGCTTGTACGAGTACCCTGATGACCCAAAATGGTCCATCATATTGGACAAAGCTGGCGGGATGCTGTGGTTGTATTCGGCTGTTACAACTACAAAGGCGTCAGCAGCTTGGATCTTAGCGTTGCAGTCCTGTAAAAACTGGGGCGCCTTTGACTTGTCTTGGTAATGGTGGAGCGGCTTCTTCAACATTGGAAACTCCGTTTTCATTGGATCTGGGAGGCAGAGGAAATTTGATATTATTTTTTAATTGTAAAAAAAAAAAAAAAAACAGAAGAAAATTAAAATTCTTTAGCATTGGAAACTCTGCCTTGGCTGGATTTAGGAAGGAAAGATTAATGTTGATGAGGTATGCATACAGCATACTTTCCATGCAGTTACATAAAAATGTATATCAATTTCTTCACCATTCAAAACCATGTCTTTACTGGATTTCTGGAAAAAAACAATGTTACAGAAACAGGCATACTGTATCACTATTTTTCCATTGCACAAAACAAAAAATACAGAAAAAAATTATGGAAGAAAATTAATGTCACTGAGGAACCATTATTACACAGGATGTGAGGCATCTTTAATTATATTGTTACAAAGAAAGAGGTTATATTTTAGTCTGCATTAGTCTGTATGTGGAAAATATTACAGACAGACAGTTTTGCTGTGAAAAGATGAATTATTACAGTAATTATTTCTCCTATTATTTCATTGTACCAGAGATTTATTGCGTCATTATATGCAGACACGATTTTTATATAAAAACAAGAAACCATGGTAACAGAAACAGACTCATAACAAATACCTTCAGGCAGTGCTATGTTCCAACCAGTCCTGTAGCCGGGGGGGGGGGGGGGGGGG